TAATCTGAAAAGTATTTAGCGGTATAGAACACAACATTTAATCAATTTAAACAGAAGTTGCAATACATACCGACGGACCTTCATTTAACTGTGTGCTATCGACATTCAATTATTACATCCTCCTTTTATTGTTTCTATATGAAATATTTTCTGTAGTTTTCCTTATGATAAATTTTTCCAATAATACGCAATTTCTTTTGAACGAGGTGCTTATAGCTCCCCTATCAATCAAAAGGAATACTCCTGGATTACTCTCTTAGGAGACATCGCTTTTTGCTCCTAAGCGAGTAATAACGGAGTACAAAACCGACAAATTTCAGTTATCGCTCCGTAATCATACCTCAGGGAGTATTCTTTTATTGCTCACTTGAGAGATCTCCCGTTTGGCTCCTAAACGAGTAATACAGGAGTACAAAATCGACAAAAATCGTTTATTGCTCCAAAATCATGGCTCTGGGAGTATTCTTTTGTTGCTCACTTAGGAGATCTTCGATTTGACTCCTAAGCGAGTTATAAAGGAGGTCAGAACCAATAAATATCCTCTATTGCTCCGAAATCAGGCCAAAAGGAGTACTCTTTTATTCCTCACATTAGGAGATCTCCCTTCAAGTTCTAGTGGGATTGAATGTGCATACGAACATACATATATACATACATAATCAGAATCTGATTAATCAAATTATTTGACTAATCAGGATTATGATTAATTAAAAACTTGATTAACCGATTAATCGCACATCCCTTTATTATACCGGTCGCTCAAAGCGCTCGAAGTTTTTAATGTATTTAATGTATTTAATATGGGAAAAACATGTTTTTGTAGAAGTGGTATAGATTTTTTGAAAATCAATATTTTTCGATCGGAAAACTTTGTTTCTCTTTTGGAGATTTTCAACAATAATATCCAATTGTTTATTTAACCATTTTATAGTATTAACTATTTCTTATAGGAGCCCTAAAAAATTGCAATGGGGGACCCATAAAAAATCGCTATTATTAGAAATGGTGAAATTAACAATTGGGTATTATAATTGGCAGTCTCTTAAAGAGAAGCAATGTCTTCCGATCGAAAAATATTGATTTTCAAGTATTTTATACCATTTCTACGAAAACTTGTTTTTCCCCATATAAAATACATGGAAAACTTTAAGCGCTTTGATCGACCTCTAAATATTTTTTGAAACAAAAGAAAATTTTCGGTATCATTCTTTCATTCATTTTATAAAACCCTGCTTATGAACTGTATGTTTTTAGCAGTCTTTGCGATAGTTACATTTGAGTTTACATGTTTATAGAGCAAGAGCCCGCGACTGCCAGACCTTCGTTATTTTATAAAGGCTGAAAGCTTCTCTATGTATGCGCCCAACACAGGTAATAACAAACCCAGACTATGAAATTTGGATAGTGGTGGCTTTGGCAGGTACTAGGTAGTAAAGGTGTATAAAATACCACATCAAATTCGTGATAGTATAAAGTTCAGTTTTTATATATTTTACTCGTAATAACATTAGAAACCACGTCGTTCATTGCCAGACACTTAGCATGGTTCCTACCCCCTGCCAGACACCCTTAAACCACGAAAAATTTAAGTTATACTTTCGTCATAGTATAAAAGCTGATTTTTATATATGTCACTTGGGGAACTATCAAAAAAAAAGTTTCCTCACTTGCCAGACCGTTTCTATAGTTCCTTCATCTTGCCAGACGCTTTAAAGGCGTAGGTGCGAGCATGAAAAAAGTTGTGTGCGTCTAATGGATAGTGTGTCTAGTGTTGGCTTATCGTTCGTTAATGTGTCTGTACCCACAAGGTATGGAAATAATTGTTGTCCAAGTCTACTTGACTATTTTATAGTATCTGACCCTGCTAAAGTTTTAAAATTTGACCAGATATCGTTTATATCAGACCACGACCTGATTTTTTGTTCGCTTGACATTAAACTTGACCATAAAAATGAAGCAGTTAGTTCGTATAATTTCTTTGACTACCGGTTTTTAAATGTTAGCAATCTCTTTAATGACCTTTCACAAATCAATTGGTCTGCATGCTGGAGTTTCAGCTCTGTAAATGAGAAACTAAGCTACTTGAACAATAATATTCTTCAAGCGCTTAGTTCGCATGTTCCTACTAGAACTTCGGTGAACAGATTTTCGTCTTGCCCTTGGTTTAACGATATAGTTCGAGCGGTTATCAAAAAGCGAAATAAGTCATACTCCGCATGGAAAAGGAATCGCACAGATAGAAATTGGTGTGCTTTTAAGGCAATATGAAATGAAGCGACAGTGACTATAAGACGTGAAAAAAGAAAGTTTTTTGCCAAAAAGCTCAGTCCCTTGCTCCCTAATAGTGTACTGTGGCGAAATTTAAAAACCTTGCGTGTTCATGTCAGTGATAGTTCAGATTGTCTACTTAACCCCGATATCCTAAATGAAGCATTTGTAAGTTGTTCCTATTCCTCCTGTTCTCTCACCTCCTGTCCCATACTCCATTGTGATGGTGTTTTTCATGGTCAAACGTTTGAGTTTTGTGCAGTGTCAGAAATTGATGTCGAAAAAAGTGTTTACAAGATACGGTCAAATGTTATCGGTGTAGACGGTATTCCAATTAAATTTATAAAGATTATTTTACCGTTAATCTTGCCAACCCTAACTCACATAATAAACCACAGTTTTACAACGTCTTGTTTCCCTAATATGTGGAATATTGCCACTGTCCTTCCGATAGCGAAAAACAAATCGGCGTGTAGCCC